TTTTAGCTGTATCCCAAATAGCCACTATAAACTTTACAAATAATGACACAAAAGGCTCGAAACATTTAAATGAGGTGGAAATTATACTGTGAAGAAAAGCAAATTCCAAAACAGTATATGCAGCATGATCCCATTTTTGTCAAAAGTAAAAATACATGCATAGGAAAGAGTCTACCATTTTATATGACAAAATGTAAACAGTTTTTAACTCTGGGTGGTTGGTAGTGTTTTTTCTTTGCATATCAGCAATTTCTAAATTTTCTACAATAATTATATATTGCTTTTATAATCATAAAACAATAAAGGTTGTAAATGTTTTTTAAAAGAAAACAGTGTAACAATTTTTCAGGTCTCTGAACAGGAAGTTCAGGTCTTGGAACCAACCACTTCCAAAAAAATGGATATAGTCAAAAATAAAAAACCTACAGTCCAGACAGTCATTTGTATTAGGATGACCAGGTGGAGGCTACAAACAGGAGGTAATAAGTGGTTTTTTTCTCCTATGGTTATTTCAGTTAAAAATATCAAAAATTACTCAGAGACAAGTTTACGTATATGCGGTTATTAAGCTAACAATGTCACAGCGAACACTAACATCTTATGCTTATTTTTTAAATAATTTATTTTTAAAAGTAAAAGAGAAGATGCACTTATTTTAAGGAGAGGAAAGAGATGTATATTGGGATATTTTCTTCTAGTCTTATTTTACTTTATGGAGCATATACTAAATGGAAAGAATTAATTTTACCCTGCTCTTTAAACTTGTATTCATTCTCTAATGATTAGAGTCTAAAGCAGTGTTTCTCAAATTTTAATGTGCATATGAACCAGCTGGGGGTTTTGATTCTGGAGGTCTGAGTGGGACCTTGATTTTGCAAAGGAATCACCTGGAAGCCTATTAAGAATGCAGAATTTTGGACCCTGTCTCAATCACAATCTACATTTTAATAAAATCCCCATTTGCATTGTACGTACAATAAAATTTGAGAATTCTGGTCTAAAGAACCAAAGTCAAGTAATTTCCTATGAAAATTACTTAAAGAAATAATAATTTAAAAAGACTATAAAAACCAGTGCTGCCACTGGATTCTGTTAGCAAATGACACAATATAACTTTGGTTTGTAACACTACCTTAAAAACATTTTTCTTAAAATGAAAATAAAATTTCCTTGATTCTCAGGTGACTTTAAAATTAGTTCTTGCTGATTTTATTTATCCCTTAAGCTAAGAATTGTGTAGCAAATCCAAACAAAATCACTTCCCCCTGTTTTGTTTTTCATTTGAGAACGATTGTTTCAGAAACAGTTTTTCTAACATTCTACTGGCATAGTGCAGGACCTTTCATCTTTCAGATACTATGATAATAGGATTACAAACGGGTTTAAGTGACATAGATACAGCATATCTTGGTTTCTGATTTACAATAATAAATGAGTGAGTTTCTAGAATGCTGAAACAAGACATTGAAGGAAAATAAAATGGAATCCATGGGTAATTTTATGAACTTCATATTAAAAAAGAAAAATAGAGTGATCACCCACAGGCTACTAAATTATTTTATAAGTCAAATTTTCTTTATTCACAGATGACAAAATTTTCCATTGTAGAAAATCATTTCACTTCAGAAATGAAGTCATATTGTAGCTACCACGTTAAAATTTTCGAACTGAAAAACTGACATTTCTGACTATGTTTTCTGAACATTTTAATGGTGACTTCTTAGGATTCTGCTTATAATAGGTCCAAAAGGAAATAATTGTGTGGTCAGGCTTAACACTGAAATTCAGTATTACAAAACACCTCAACTCCTATAAATTGTACTGGATCACATTTAAACTGAAGCCATTCTACTATCTTTTTAACTCCTTAAACTTGATCCGACATGCTCACTCCTACTAGGACTGCCAAGAAGATACACTAAGAATTTGTTTACTAACATGAGCTCTAATAAAAAAATTAATAAAGATGTATTGTAAAAATAAAGTAGAGCTCACTAAACATATTTGAAATCAGATCTACTTTTTAAAAAATCCTAAGAACAAACACACAGTATTCAATGTAGTACTATTAGATACAAGCTGATAAATTGAGACTAAATGTTTGAATGTATTGTACAACCACAGAAAATCAAGAGGTAGTGTTTTAATGGAGTAACTACAGTGTCTACCACAGTTTAATGTATCACTATATATGTTAACATTGCTTTCAGAGCAAATATTAAAATGAAAGTGTTTTCTAAGTCATCATCTACTCCCATGCAGTATTTGCTGCTGAAGAATAGGGTAAGAGTTAAAACCTGTCTTTGGTCTTAGAAAAAGTTTTCAGAAGCCTTTCATCCTTAAATATATTTTGTTAACAGTTTTAAATTACAATGTTAACATTTCAAATTCTGTAATTTAAATGTTTTGTAGGATTTTGTAAATTTTTTAATTTAAGATTTTGTGATTCTATTTAATGCTAATCTTAAAGACCATAGGCAATTTTGCTAAGGGGAGATGATGCCAACATCATCAGTCCGTGGTTTAGGAATTTCTTACTGCTGTTTTAAAATTTATGATAGTATTTAATTTAATTTCAGTTAGTCTCTGGAAATACACAATTTTACATTTCCTGAATATTGTTTCACTTTTTTTTCACAGAGCCCATTTCAAATAAGTTTCCTGAACTACTTGCTCATCACAGATGTTAAAATATTAGTATCTGATAAGAAAATATTTATAGTTGAAATATATCTAGATTAATCAATGTTTTGTACTTTCCACATATTATTTTATTTTTTGATTTAAAGAGGATTGTGGGTAAGTTGTGCTACATCACGGTCATGGATAATATGTTTCTAGGTGTAGTTAATTGATTTTACTTTCAAAATTATAATCAAGAATTTTCCTAATGGTCCATTAAGCACTTATTTACCTTATATATTCCTATAAATTACAAATAAAGGACTCTGATTTTTTTCTTTTTCTTTTTTTTTTTGTCTTTATGAGTATTTTTGTGGCCGGCTGATAACAGGAACCGAACCCATGACCTTAGTGTTATAAGGCTGTACCCTAACCAACTGAGCTAACCAGTCAGCCCCTATAATCCAGAATTTTAAATGAGGGGTACAAGTTGTGATATTTTAAATGATAATTCCCAATGTGTTGAAAAAATATATGAGCAAATGGAGTCATTTAAAGTAATATTGAGTGAAAAGAAAAAAAGCAAGTCCCAGAAGATTATGTACAGTATGATACCATCTTTAGGAAGCTCAAAATTATCAAAATTAAAAAATATATTGTGTTAAAAGTAGAAACGTGTGAAAAATCAATGAAACAAAAAAGCATGAGCAAGATTCAAGATAGCTATAATCCCTAAGGGGTAAGCCTGAGGGTGATGTAGAGAAATAGCACACAAATAGTTGCAAATTATTGGGACACACATACACAAGCTTTATCATGAATATTAATCATTTTTTAAGTGCAAGAAAATCAGGAGGTTTAGATTATCTAGGAACAAGTTGATGATGAAAGTGTAGTATTTCCCTGCTTAATAAACCATATTATTCTAAACATATGGAGTATTGTGTTCTTTGACCTCAACTTTTCACCATATTATTTAATATGTGGCAAATATTTTTTTGAAATTCCTAATAGCTAAACAATGTGCACAATTATCTTTCTTAAAAGTATATTTTGTATGCTTTGTTTTACGATTCAACTTACTTTTTAAATGATACCAGAGTGAGACTAGTATTTTTAATTAATCAATGAGAATAAAGGAAATAGATTATTCTGCTTATGTTCACAGTTGGTGTTATATGATCATAATTTTGATCAATGAATGCATTATTACTAGGAGAATATTTACATGACTATGTTTTTGATTCCAAAGACTAGGTGCAAGTGAACTCTGATTTCCATTAAATCATGTTGAAAAAGGCTCCTTCTTCCTAGTAAATCAATAGTGTAGAAAGCAAATACAATTTTAACGATCAGATATGAAAGTTGAGAGAAAAAAACAACCTCATATCAATATCACACTGCAATTTTAATAAAATAAGAAGGATCCCTCATAATCTTAGGCAACCTTGAATCTAGTAGAGACTGACATAAAGTTTAAGTGTAAATTCTTTCAGTTTTATAAAATATAAAACGATTCTTACATCTTTAAAAAGATGGGGCATACAGCAGTGCTTGCAAAGGCTCACCAGTATGTATTGTGAAATAAATCTTTTTTAACTTGCTGGGTACAAGAGCGACTAGTTCTTGCAAGACTGATAGGCAAGCCATCTAGTATAGTTGGATCAGGACAAGTCTCCTCACTGCTAGTTGTATAAATATTTGCCTTTACATAAAGAAAGAACCTCTCTTGGGGACTTATGAGATACTTTTGAGATAGAGGGACTTATAAGATACTTTTGAGATAGAGAAGGGAAAAATAAAATCTACGAGTTAACTTATCTGAAACACGAATTCTGTAAGTCAAGCCTGAATTTAAGCAGATTACTTGAGGTTAAAATAGAATGCCCTACCTTTCTCAAAGAGCCCATTTAACTCTGCTGATTCCAAATGTACAGATTTTGAATGAAAATATATAACTAATTTAAAAAACTGAAAAGTCCTTCAAAAGACACCTTAAAATTAAATATTATGGAAACTTATTGAAGCAAGTGAAATTAACCATGGACTTGATTGAATGAAATAAGCAACTGATAGTTTTTTCATATTTACTCTCACTTTTAATTTCACCGGAAGAACAACATTTACTGTACCTGACGAGGGGTTCTTTCTGATTTACTTCTACACCACTCCCAGTCTGAAAGGTCTGGCTTTTGATTCTCCTCATGAGATAGTCTTCTTTCTGGCCCTTCAAAAAAGGTGGTTTCTTCATAATTAATGTCATGTCCTGTGTTGTCAGTAAACACATCCTTTTCTTTGTTGGCATCCTGTTTAGCCTCTGTAATATCAGTATTCGTGCATTTGTTGATGCCCTTTAGTCTGGAGCTGTCCAGACAGGGTGTGGTGCTGATTTCTACTTTTATGGCATTGAAGATATTTCGGCTGTCTATCTGAGAGTCTTTTGTAGTTTCACATTCATAGTTCATCAGGTTGTGATAGGATATGGAATTTTCATCATCATCATCATCATAGTAATCTTCATGTGCTATTTTATAAATTCCATAACTTTGTTGGAATGATAGATTGAATTCAAAGCCTTTCCTCTTGGCTAAGTAAAAACAAAAACAAAAGTCCATGGCTAGTAATGTATATATAAACAACAGTTGGATAAACATAGTGGATAAAAATACAAAGCACATTCAACATGATTATTGTAAATTAAAAACTATCTTCATTTACTTCTTCTCAATTATACAAAGCAACTATTCCTCACAAACTCAAATTAAAGTTTTCTCACTTGCACAATGAGGGGCTTGAAATACATACAATTCCAAGGACTTTTCAGTCTTTAAAGCAGTTTTACATAACAAGAAATTGACCATAAACTAGGAAACTCTCAAATACATTCAGTTTTAGCTTTTTTAAAATGTCTATTAATTATTCTCCACATTTCTTTATTTGGGGATAAAATATACTGTTTATAAATTTTATTTTGCTAGAAATTAATTATTAAGTATCTTTAATATTATATGAGTTATTCAGACTACAATACCACCAACAGGTATAACTGCTTTAAACATTTTGAAGCATTCCATTGCTGGCATTTATATTCTATAAATGTTTACATTAAAAATTAGACCATGCTGCAATACAGATTTTAAACTCTTAAAAATACTACATACATTTCTGAAACAAATAAATTTGGAATTAATCGGTAAAAAAAAGTGAATGGATTTGTATTTTTGTGAACTGAAGCACTTTGTAATGTCTAAAAGCTAATTAATTATAAGCTCTCATCTTCTAATTAATCAGCTTTATAGACATTATAAAGTGCTCCACATGTTTAGCAGAAATGCATAAGTATTTTTATGGTTTAAATTAGGGAAAATATGATATTCTAAATATAATGCTATTAGTTGGTGGATATGATACAAAGTCTTAGTAGAATAACTAGTATGAATGTGACAGAAAGTGATATGATTTTTGTGTGTCTGTAAAATTTGTTTGAAACAAATCATGCTTTGAGAGATCAAAATTAAAAGGTTACACTGCATTTTGTCTACGACCTTGATATAATTTCATTC